CTTGTAATATTCTGGAAAAAATCAGAATGAATTGAATGCACAGAGAGATATGAAATTAAATATGTTATAAATTCTGTAACGAGAAACGTTTTTATATTGAGAAGAATCGTTTCAGAGTATTCTGAGACGGCCACATTTTTCTGGCTGTCAGGTAAATATTATGAATGTGAGTTGTACTGCACACAGAAAATAGCACCTCTCAGCAATAATTACACAGCCCATCTGTATTCTCTTTAGGGAATTTAAAATCATGTCATATACATCCTTTACAAATGCTTTAACAACCCCACAAAATCAGGAGAAGAATAGAACACAAAGAAAAGGAGACTCAAAAATCTCTACTGCATGTCTAGATCACACTCTGCAAATAATGCTTTGTTCTGTTATCAGCAGACCAGAATATTCAGATGGAGATTGTGTAGGGTTGATGTGAAGTATGAGATTTCAGTCTCCGTACCAAAACAAAACATTGCATTTCACCTAAAATGTTTGGTTGTTGGGTTTTTGTTGTTTGGTTGGGGTTTTTCTGGGGGGCAGTGGGTGAGTTTTGATTTGTTTCTAAAGTATACTGGGGTGAAATTCTGAAAAAAATATGATTTCAAATTAAAAAAAAAATGCTTTATTTTGAAGTTTTTTGAATCAAAGCATTTCAATTACATTTTAACTTTTTTTCTCTCTGGGATTTCCAGCTGCATTCAATAAATGTGCCATTTATTCCTAATTGTGACCTGGATAAGGGCAGAAAGAATAAAGAGAAAAGTAGGAACGCAGCAAGCATGAGGGAATGACGACAGAAGAAAAATGGACAGCAGGAAACCAATTTGCAGAAATACTCCTTCTCAGGAGAACCACATCTCTCAGCGGCTCAGAAGAGGCTGTTAGAGAGCCAGAAAGAAAGGGAGAGAGAACGATGAGAAGGAGGAGAGATGGAGGAGGAAGGGTGAGACATGAAGAGGAGGAGCAAGGAAAGTGCAAAATATGTGGGGTGAATGGAACAAGAAGCAACGAAAAACTGGGAGAAAAGGTTAAAGAGCCTCTCAAATCTCTGGGACAAAATCCTGCCTCATTACTATCAGTACTCTTTTGGTATCTAATACAAAAGGGAGCAGTTTAACACCCCCTGGTTTGGATTCAGGTCCCACCATTTCAGGCCCACCCTAACCTCAGTATCTCCCACCAACCTGTTTCAAAGGACATCAGGGAAAGTGGCCTTTCAGTGAATACACAACGACTCACATAGTCACAGCTCCAGAAACTTGGCTCTTGCCAGCCCTCCTTATACTTCCCTAACCCCAAACCTCTCCCTGCCTGTTGGCTCAAATTGTGTAAGCTAATATGGTTTTTAGTCATTTAAGTCCTCTCTGGCTTAAATCTGTATAAATTGAGACTTTAGGCTTGATGACGCTACCTCAACACTCCCGATGCCTTTGTTGTCCATAGCTTGAAGCCTCATTCCACTATGGACAAGAAGTTGTTATATGGGCATGGTCTGATTCTGAGGTTCAAATGTACTGCCAGTGAACAGAAGGGCTACTCCTACCTTTGCTGCAACATCCCTTCATGTATTTGTCGTCCACGCTATGTGCTGTGAGGTGTCAACTCCTTTGGACCCAATTTAATTTAAATAATCTGTTATGATTTAGGTGTGCTTTCAGCATTCTATTCGTGTTCTCAGCATACATCTTAACAGCGCTTTACGATAAACTGTATAATATGCTGTGAATGCATATTAATAGTCATATTAATTTGTTACATAATCAGTCATATTCATTATAGGTCCACCGTAAAATAAAAATCTTAGCTTTACATAGTTACTGCTCTCTGGAGTTGAGTTGTTCTATAAACTTCAGTGAAAAATCCTTTCTCTGTTGTATAAAGGGCCTATCCAAACTTTGCTTCTGAAGACCTGAAAATATCATCACTGAGTAGATTTTTCTGAGTATCAGGAAGAAAATTATTGGATGACAGTAAACTGCTACATTCATTCACTGTTGTTTCTAGCCTAAACCATGATTCAAGTGTAATTCAGCTAAGTTCCATCCCAGACTGGTCCTCAAGACTGGGCTGGCAAAGCATTTTACACCTAGGCCAGTAACTGGATTGCAGAGTTCATCCAGCTGAAGAATAGCTCTGGAAAAAAAGAACTAACAGGAGAATAGACACAAGAGGGAGAGGAGAGAGGCTGGTGAAGTCAGTGTTACTGTCAAATTTTGGTATTGCCGTATGAGACCCTCCATTACACAGATTCTTCAGAACCATTTGAGCCAAGATTCAAATGGAGAAAGCTCTTTCAGATGCACAGTAAATCCCTGCAAGACTGGATTTATGACAGGGGCACTGACAGAACTGTAGCTATAGCACTGCTAGCGGGTGCTGCTATAATCACATCAGATCATATTATAGACAGCTAAGAAGGTTTTGCGAGCCTGGCCATTGTGCCCGCCTAATTTATAGTGTTCCTGTCAGGAAGAAATCAAGTTTCATAGTTATGACATTTCTTTCTGGAGCACTAAATGTTAACTTTGCTGATCATGCATATCTTGGTAGAACAGCTTATTTCTAAATGGCAAACGTGATATAAAAAGCATAATGACTTCATTCAAAACCTTTATAAAGTAGCTGATTCTCACACCTATAGAAAACAGGCCAAGTGGTATTTTAGTCATCAGAGTATGGAAATAGATACACAATATATTCGATTCATTTCTCCCATTTTAAGTAACATCATGATGCTGGAATTGCAGTCTATCTAAAACTAGTCATTTTTTGTACTTATTAAATGCACTTAAATAACGTCATATAATAAAAGTAATACTGCTGACAGATAACAGCAGCAGCAATGCTTTTCTTTTACACATTTCGTTTTGTACAAGGATTTCTTCTTACCTGATCGTCATTCAGAGCTAGATGATTGTACATAAGGGAAGGAAAGGACAAAAGGAGCCTCACACTCTCTGTAATAAAATTCACCTACAGTTTCAGCATTCAGAACAAACGAGAGAAAGATGCAACATCACTTGACAGGTGAGAGTAACGCAGCAATGGATGCACACTTTACCTCTGTCACATTAGCTACCGGCATATTTTCCTCTACATCATGTAGAGGAAATAACTCCCACTAGAGTGCTGGTGAGACCTACTGTTGCTGGGGAGATATTGTGTATCCTCTAGTGCAGGTGTTGGGGAAAAAATAGCTGTAAATGAGTAACTAGCATCAGCAAGGGCCTGCTAAAGAGCATCCTTAAACCTAGGCTGCTTGCAAAAACTGTAGTTTATATTACAAAGAACTAATGTTACAAATACATATTTAATCTTCATTTTGACATGCTGATAGCATTTAAAATATAATCAAAGCTTATGCAGTCTACTTGCTGCTACAAATATTCTACTACTGTATTTAAGTTATGGTTTTCTCACAAGGTCTCTGGAACAACTAAAGAAAAGGCTACTGAGTGAAACGAATGGAACCTCAATTAATTTCTAACAATTCAATGACTTGTGTTAATTAATGGACAGTTGGACATCAGAGATATCATGTTTCCCCCAACCTGTCAACAACTGTGCAGATATGATAAAGAGAATTTTTATAGATCTTCATCCTAAATAGTCTCTAACTGGGGAACAACTCCCCCGCCCCCAAATTTTACCAGCCTCCTGGAATCCAAGAAAACAAAACGTAAACCAAATCAAAGCATTAAGAACAACATTTGCCCTAATTTGAAAGCGGACTCTCTAGTAAAGAAGAAAAAACACCTCAGAGACAGGAAGATCTGAGGAAAAACAAAGACCTCCAGAACCTCGGCAAAAGAAACACATAATATTTTATGCTACTGTAATGTGACAAAAGAGATTTGGTTTCTTCCTTGAAAGTACGTTGATATCAGTAAATACAAGTGTGAAAAATAAACGTGGTTGTGTACTACTACTAGTTTCTTTCCCTGCTTGGTGTAAAACCAAAATAGAAAGGTTCAACACAATCCTAACAAATTTATTTTCAAAATTGGCCTGTAATAATGGCAACAATAACTGTCTCAATGATAAAATAACAATATTTTATAATTAAGATGCTTTAAAATAAAAATAGGAGAGATTAAGTTCAGCAAATCAGTGAAAGTTATTAGAATAAAGCAACTCAGAACTTAGGGATTCCAGAATGATGGGGATACATGAGTGTAAATGAGCATAAATATCAAAATAAAAAGACATGCAATTTCCAGAACAGATACCTCTATAGACTGAAATATTTAATAATAAAGAAAAATGGACTAAAATAACTGCCTTTCAAAGTTGGCAAAATTTTATTTTCTCAACAAGAAACATGCACGTGCATGCAAATACAGACAAAAGTTAGATGGATAAAACCTTTCATTTTTCCTCAATAAAAAGAGGACACACTGTACTTTAGAGAATCCAATAGCACCAATCCTTCACATGCACTGAACCTGTATCTTTCTACTTTGAAAAATTCTTGTCTCAACATATTTTTTAGTGTGTGGCTCTCAACACAGGCATGAAATTTTCTTAACAACCTGCTTGGAAGAGACTATCAGAAGCCTTTCAAAAGTATAAACATATTTTGTACAGCCAGAAGGAAATTTAGGTGCGGCTACCAGAGACTATACTCACCGCACTAGAGTTCCTGTTATGTTCTATAGAATTTTCTTTTAAGTATAACACTAAGTTTGATTTTAAACAACATTTTAGAATAGCTTTTGAACTTTAACAGATGCAGCACTGTTTATTCCTCTAGCCTCTACTGAGTATTCATATCTGTTTTTAATTACATTACAGATTTGTAGATAGAGTGGAGCATCTTAACTTCTTGACCGTACTCGTGGGTATTTCATCAAACTGAACCACTAGCAGGAAGAGCAGACCAGGTGTGTTATAGGCAGTACAAACTCATTGCCTCTTCATTACCTTCCTTAAGAAAGTCACTGTAAATGGTTTTGTTAGCCACAAAAAGCTACTTTTTCCTAAGTCTCATAGATGACTCTTACCTTTATAACAGAGGCCCCTGCCCTGGAAAGCGGACTGTGCATTTGGGCTGCTGCAGCCATGTTAGCTATCGTATTGAGGTGGTTCATCTGATTCATTGCCATTGCAACCGAAGCGGGAGGTAGGCTGACGGGAAGCAGAGGGTGAGGCATCATCATAAACGGCAGGTCTATCCCTAAAAGAGAGCATGGGTAGGTTATATGTGTCACTCCCTCATTTTATAACCCAACACCTTAATTTTTAGAGTTCATATTCTACTGGAACACTGACTTGTCAAACTCAGCATTATTATGTGTTAATAATGTTGGTGTTACATAGGGAATAATTGTCTTTGCGTTCCAAAAAAGGCTGTATGGTTTGTATTAGGGAAGAAACAAACAGCTGTGAAGTAACACAGTATTAGCAAAATGAATATACAATAGTGCCTAAGTTCAGTGATCTCTTTATTAAGAGCAATAAGGCAAAACCCACAAAACATGCAGATATTTGCATGTCTTTCCAATACATCAGACATATATTTATTAATAATTTTATCTGACAATATATTCTTACCAAGTCCTCTTACTATTCTTAATTCACATACACAGCGATCTGAGACTAGATTTTTATATTAGGACTATTTCTTGATGACAGAAAGCTGTGGGTTGGACTACAGACACTACTGAACTACCCTACAGAAGGTCTGTGAACTGGAACATGTAATGAGAGGGTAAAATTGTTGCCATAGGTTTTAATTTCCAGAAAGTCACTGTCTTCTACTATGCATACAAAACAATTTAAGAACATATGAAATTAATTTGGATCAACTTGCAGATCTTGACATTGCCAAAAAGGTGATGTTACTGCTAGCAAGAATTGGTTTCTTGTGTTTCATTAATACCTATTTCAGCATGTGTATTACTTGTTCTATTTGGTAATGACTGCAATGGAAAGTAAGATCAAAACACCAATACACTGAAAAAATTGTTTCAGATTATTTCTGCATTTAAGAATTCTTTAGAGAGACCACTCGAAGATAGCTACCTTTGCACATCCGAATTTTTTTTTTCCAGAAAAAATATGACTCATTCTGCCAGAAAAAATGTCTTATCATTTTTCTAAATGAAATTTAGATTAGAAATTCTCATTAAAAAAGTCAGGTACAAGTAGTAAATAACATAATCATATAGCTAGTCATAACCACATGCTATTCACACTGATTACTTCTAAAAGTTTTTTAACTATTTTAAATAAGAAGGCCAGTCACCATTTTGGTGTATGACAGAACCCACACTTAAAAATATCAGTGACTGATATAGCTTATGTTATTCCAATACAATTTGACTATAGCCATATAAAAACACCGCTGCACCCACCACAAAAGGCAGAACTGTATATATTCTGAGCTCCCACACTATTTCTGTTTAGCTTGAATATATCCTGATCAACAACTGTGATGTCTTATGATTCACCATGTATTTTATATGATGAACCATGCCAATATTAATTATGATAGGTAATAAGCAAAACCCACATACATCTTCACTTTAAACCATACTGACAATCCCCTTCAGTGCTTACATCCATAAGCCTTTGTTCCCCTGCATATCTCCCTTAACAGCCCAATAATCTTTCCTCATACTCTATAGAGTTCCAAAACTCCCAGACACCATCTGGCCACATTGAGTTGTATGTCTACTTAAAGTCCAATTGACATGCAAACTAAATGCAAACTACAAACAGAATTTAACAGCACATCACCAGTTTTAAGACATAATCCGTCAAACATTTCAGAGGACTATGAAGAAAATATATCCTACACTTGCAAATCATTGGACATAATGTCTGACATTCAATAAACCCTTTAATATCCTATAGACATTTGCCTACTACAAAATCTACTGGAAAATATCTTTAAAGTTTTCTTTATCAGCAAAGAACACAATATCCCTGTACATAAAATATACACAGGTACTGAATTATGCAAGAATATAAAATGAAAAGATAAACTACAGTGAATTTGAGTCCCATAGCCTGGTGATTCTTAACTACTGACACTTAACCAGATGCCCAAAATGCTCAGGTACATACCTTCCCATGAACAAAGCAGACGCATATCGAAGGAGTCATTTCAATGGCTTTGATTTGTTCAAGTCTGAGGCCCTACATAGGTAACAAGGGACTATCTGCTCCTAAAATTGTGTAAGGAGCCAGAAATGTCATTCATCTATTAAAATTAACACCAAAAATCAACTTTTGAAACTTTAAGGATGAAGAGCTAAAACAAGTAACAAGAATTCAGAAATAGTAAGATTTTCATTCTTCATCCATCATGATCTGTTAGAATTAACTTTAACCCTCACTAATTTTTAAAATATCAATCCTGAACATCTATCTTGGAATAACTTTCCCTTCCCTTCCTTCCCTCTTTGGGTGCAAAGAACAAGGGGAACTGCTGGCTTCCCACCTGCCCCCTCTAAGGGAAGGAAAAGAGATGGGTTTGAAGGGAGCTTTAAGTTCCAAACCCAAACTTTATCTGTGTCATTTTATTCCAGTTGCTTTGGATAGCTGGGTTCAATGGATGACCTTCCCACACTTGGCAGGTACAAGGTAAAGAAGGCAGAGAAATTACCTCTGCTCGCTTTTAACTAGCCACTTTGCATTTATTCCTAGCTGTCCTATTTTTATTTGGTGGCCAGCATTTTCACCTGGAAGAGAATTTTCTCATATAGCTAAAATTTTAAGCAACTTTATAGTTTTTCTTCCCTTCAGTCCAGGCCATGGAAACGTCAGTTAAGGACTGACAGTCCCAAACCCAGCAGTGGGTGACTATTCAAAAAGGGCAGCTGTATCCCAGTGGGTGGCTTGGACATGATGCACAAGTGCAGCCAACAGTGGGAGGACTGACCCTCCTGTCACTCACGTGTCTCCCATCCATCTCCCCCACCCTCCAGGAGGTTGGGAAGGAGTGCAAGCCCTGGCTCCAATATTTTTTCTGTAAGAGCGCAGTACATACTGTTGGTGAGCAGGTGATTCTGCTGGAGAGGACTGAGTGGGTGCGCACTTCCAAGGCTCGACTGCCCTGACAGTGTGGGATGACCAATGCTGTGCTGTGATCCCGTTGTAATGGGAGACTGAAGCTTGTCCTTATCCCAGGAGGATTCACTCCCACCTGCAAAACAGGGTACAAACCATAAATGGCATATACTTTTCTTTAAAAGACATTTTGCTTGGTTAGCAACGAGCTAATACACTTTACCATAGCTAAGCACCTAGCAGAAAAAAAGCACCTGAAACCTACACCTGATTTTTTTTAAAAAAATAAATTAATAAATATGCATCAGGCAAAAAATATTAGAAACTTTCAACATCACCTACTTTCATAACACTAGTTTCTGGAAACAGGAAAAGCTAAATGTTTAAGGATAAAATCATCCAAGTAAACATCAGTCACAATTAAGTAAATAAGGCAGAAAGGGAACATCGGAGACACTGAATCACAATCTCCTGCTATGACAGGGAATCAGGCCACCCAGTCCCCTGCCAGAGACCAATCGTTGCCCACCCTCGGGCTCTTCAAGTCTCTCACCGCTGTTAATCTTACTGGAGAGTCGCTCCGCTATTCACTCCTCCAATGCTCACTAGCGGTCTAGCTTAAATTCATCCCTCAACAGGTTACAGCAATTAATCCTGCTGCTATGTTTGTTATCTTTGAGTTTAAATAACTCTTCCTCCACTGCTGGGTTTGATCCTGGGGATGTCCTAAGCGAAACACTTCTCTTTGCTAGGTTAAACAAGCCAGGCATTAGGTTGGGCTTGGACATCATCAGCATTCATGACTTTAAATTTAAAGAGTCCAGCTAGCAATTATGCACGGTAATTACTGTCTACAACAAAAACACAGTATAGCAAACTAACCACTCGTGTTTGGTCTAGAATATCTGCTTGGTCTTCTGAAGGGAGGGTGCTCTGCACTAATTTTACAGATTATAGTTTTCTTTGGTATTACACTTAGACACTTGAATAACAACAAGTTCCTTTTAAACAGCAGTTAAGTAGACCATGTCAGCGAATTCTGAAACACATCTGGTCCACAAAACAAACCACCTTAAAAAAGTTAGATTGAACATTTCTAGAGTAAAAAGGTATTTTAAGTACACTCCTTTCTCAGGTACGCCCCACATTTTCAATTAGATTATAGATTGTTATGAAAATGTATAACTGCAGTATTGACTTTGTTTTGAATTTATGAACAAGAATTTCAATTAGAATAAGTAAATAGATTACTGTGATGTAGCAGATAGAGGCAGCAAGCAAAACACATTTTAATTGAATATGAAAGTAACAGAAAAATTCCATTCTTTATGACAACACTTAGCTAAATAAACATGATTAATACACCTAAATGAAAGAGTTTGAAAGATCAATGATTGAGAAAAAAGGAAATCACTCCATCATTTTAGCACTATGTCCAAGTATGATTACTTTCCTATAAAAGATTTGTAATTTGTAAAATGCTGAGAAATACATTGATAAAGAAAGATACATTAAGTTATGCCATGTGATATAATATAACATGGCATAGTGCAGTAATTAGAAGAACTACTACAGTTAAGGCTATGTCAGCATCTTTGTTATTTAATATACTGTATATCAGCTTTTCAAATAACATTTGACTGATACTCAGTACAGAAGTTGTTCATTCTGACTGCTGTGAAACAAAGGCGGTATTATCTGGTAAACTATTTCGCTAGTTAAGTGTGTAATTTATAAGAAGATTTTCTGAGGAAATGTTTAGCATCTGATTTTACCAAATAAGTTGCATTTTCTCCATATGTTTTTCCAGTAAATTTAACATTTACACTTTATGCTCCCTCAAAAAAACCACATATGACCTGTACATTAGCATGAATTTTTTGCTTAGAAATAGATTCTGTACATGTAACTTCATGTATCAGGGCAGTGGCCACAAAAACTGTGCATAAGAGAATTTGTCAGAGATTTCTGAATGAAAAGAAACGAGTCTCCCTCACTCCGTTTGCTTCTCTCCAATACTTCCAACCCCAGGCACAGATGGTCTAAACTCTTAGCTCATTTACTTATTTCTGGAAGTTTCTCTTGTCTTTCCAAAGCCTCATGCATCTACCCACCATCCTTCTGTGGGCCCGAAGCTGTAGTATCAGAGTACCCTATCACCTTTCTGTGGCCAGCTTCACAACTGTTGCATGGTTCATAGGAAAGTACGATTATGTCTATTTTAATGATGGAGAATTGCACTGCACAAAAAATGACTTAAGGAAATAAAGGAAACCTGCAATGGAACAGGAAACTGAATTTAAATTATGTTGTACAGTCCAAATCACTGGACTAGTTTTCCTTACAGATGGGGACAATAATAACTTTTTTCCCTGCAAATTCCACTTGTAAATCTGTTCCAGTATTCAGTGCCAGCAACACAAGAATAAATTGCAATACACTTATCTCTACAGACCATTCCTGTATTCTTATGTTCCCTATCGCATCTCCTTAGAGAAAGAAAAAAAAAATACTGCTGAGCGTATGATGTATAATAAAAGTGCATGTTAAATGAAATGTATCCTGTAGTCTGCAGTATACCATGCAGATAACAGCTTCATCACTTAATCTGGACTGCACATACTATGTAGTAGCAAGTCTCTCTCAAAAAAAAAAAAAATTACAACTTCTTCTTACCTAGAACTCTTCAATTGTGAAGTGTTTTATAAGGGCAGTATGATTATCTCCAACTTACAAGTGGGAAAGCTGAGGTGCAGAATTATGAAGCAACTTCCTCCATGACACCTGGTAGACTTATGGTGAAATTGGAAGAGAAGTCAGGTCTCACAGGTCCTACTCCTGTGCTCTACACCATAGACACCGTCAAATCATCCTACCCACAGTCCCTTTGCACAGCTAAAAAATAATAGCTTTAAAAGAAAACTTGCATCCTTCCCTGCAGTATTTATTCCCACACAGTAAGAAAAACTTACATATAAATAAATAGTAAGACAGAACTAGATTCACATTATAAAGCAAATATGTGAAATGCAAACCTGTGGTAAAATACTCAGGTCTTTTACTATCATGCAACTTAAAAAAAAAGTAATCATTTTTGAGCACATGCATTTTCTTATTTAGTAACACAGTTGTCAGAATATCAGCAAGTACATATTTGACATATATATATAAATGCATACTTTCAAATTATTTGTTACTGTAACAATTAGAAGTGAATATGTCTATAAAAAGTAAATCCTCCTTAATATGTCAAATTTAGCTTTAGCCACAATTTTTCCAGGAGATTTCTGTTCATTGTCATTTTTTGTCCAAATAGGTGTCATCAATAAGGCAAAGATGTCACATTTAGATTCTAAATCCTGTCTTTGGTATGATGAGCTTACAGGTGAAACTAAAAATGAAACTTTATGACAGGAATCATGCAATACACCACAAAGAAATAAATTTATGAGAGGTTTTCTTTTTTCTCTCATTATAGTCAAAAGTTTTGGTCTCTGAAGAAATTGGTATAAGAAAAAATATCTTCTTTGTCCACACCAAGCTAGTGAAGGGTCTCACTAAAATTAAACAATGATCTGTACTACTGTATAAAGAGAGATGGACTTCAAGTAATTTCTTTTGGGTACAGATGAAACAAAAGGAGAAAAACTATACGAAAAAAAGAAAGCAAACATACAACACTATGGAAAATGAGACGACAGAAAACAGCGATGTTTTCATTTACCTCTTGTATATGAAGGGAAATATAGCTTTTTATTTATTTTAAATGAGAAAGAATATTTCATTTTAACATATTAGTAACTTGATTCATAAGTGTCACAGGAATATTATTCAAGCACTTAGAAGTCTGTTGATTTGTCAAAATGCCAATACATCATCTATACGCTTTACAAAAAGCTTTACGTTTAACACTATTACCCACTACCATATGACCTTCTCTCCAACAGATAAAACTAAAGGACAAAAAGGTAATTTTTCCTTATCTTGTTTGCATTCTAGTCGATCTTGTCCCAGAACAGATTGTACTCAGCATTAAAAAAGGGCAAGAGAGACAAGAACCTCCATCTTCCAGAGCTCCTGGCGCTTGTCAGAAGCAAGCACCGAGACTGTGGTTCCCTCAACATAGCCACAGCAAAGCGGGAAGAAAAAGGCAGAGGTATTAGCCGGCCAGTCATCCTAAAAGATTGCCAAATGCTCTGGCTGCATAAAAAAGGTCTGGCCTGCTTCAACCATCCAGTTCAGGCCACATGGCAAATGTGTGGAGTACAGTTCTGCTTTCAGATTTGCAGCTAAATGTATGATACGGATGGGGAAAAAAAAAATGAAAAAAGGCCCGATTGCCTGCATTGTACACAGTCGCCTATACGGAAGTGCACTGCGTGTTTCAAAGGACACAGATAAAGATGGACACTACATGACTTTGGTAAGAGAAAGAGTTACAATATACTTAGTAATTAATGTCTGGTGTTTCCCAGTCTTAACAGGTTATTTGAGAGGACTTATTTATCAGTGCCTGAGTTACCCTTATGTTCAAATAAGCAAAAGCAAAACTAATGTAACAAACCTCAGTCCATTCACTTCTAAATTAAAATGCGGTGAGAGGTAATCATTCCCTTAATGCCATTTTACAGCCCAGTGGCCAAATTCTGTACGTCTCTGTTCCCAAGACCCTGTGAACAGTGAGTTCAGACACAGAGGGAGTTAAATCACAGGTAACACAGACAAACGGGGGAAATCAGCCTAAGCAGTACATACACATGCTGCTGAAGATATACACTGTACGCACAGGTCCACTGCAAAGTTATTTACAATCAGGTACATGTCTGTAAGCAAAGTGCCTCTGTTTACATTTCATTTTGTTTAGTTGAAGGAAATGCAAGTGATAAGCTCACCTTCATTTTTCTGAAAATGCTGCTTCTCACCCATCTTGGATTTTAGTAATTTTATAAGATAACTCTTAAAGCTACATGTTTTCTAGTAATAAACTTCTCTGTGCATTTGTGTTCTTCAAAACAAAAAAACTTTTTTTGGTGAAGATATATCTGTGAAGATTAAATTAATGTCTTGTTTTTAGGTATTCAAAGATCTCCAGAAAGTAATCAAAGTTCAATTTGGTGACAGTTTCTTTTCATTTGG